TGTGGAGCGGGGGGTGGTCATGGGACCAATATTTGCATGCACTCCCTGCCACTTTGAGGAAGTGGGTCGGCCGTGGAGACCCTAAATCTGCAAACGAGCTAGTGGACCTGGTGGAGAGATATGCAGCCGCTGAGGACTTTTTTTCATTCACCTGGGCCGTACCCCAATGTCACTGGGGGTGTGGAAAACTATCGGAAGATCCGGGGTAAGACTGTTCCATGGGCCAAAGGCTCAGAAAAAAAATGATAAGGACTATTGTGTCAGATAATGAGACTGTAGGCTTAGGACCTAGAGACTGGCCAAATAGGTTAGGAAGGTCCCCAAAAGCCGTTTAGTGGTCTAAGCACTGAACATATAATATGTTATCGTTGTCATGCGTTAGGTCATATTGCTGCAAACTGTCCGTTAAATGATGAACCTATATGCAATGTGTGAAAATGCTTATCTAGGGAAAACGCATGTCTCTTTTTGCACAGGTGGTATTGTACTGCAGCATGTCAGAAACGCATGGAAAAGCAAATGTGTGCGATTTGCCATTGATGGAAAGCCAGTAACTGCTCTGCTAGACTCGGGTAGTGTTGTGATCTTAGTTAAGAGTGATTTGGTCAACCCTGCCAGCTTACACCCTAGCACTATTGGAGTTATTTTGTATTCATGGTGATACACGTAATTACCAGACTGCTCTGGTGGAGATTGGTACTCCCTGGGGCCCTGTGACCCATTCTGTGGGGGGGTGGTGCCCTCTCTGCTTCATGAAGCCATAGTGGGGAGAGATTTTCCCCATTTCTGGAAGTTATGGGATAAGGAGGGGAGTCAGGAGGACCGAGCTCCCCCTGCTGGGGAAACACTGAAAACTCCTGAACTCACCCCTGACCCCTTTGACGGCAAAGGTGGAAGGGGAAACTGTTGGTGTGTCCAAGGAAGGGTTTAGACCTTTTTCCTTTCTCTGTAATGGCTGGGGAGCAGGAGGAGTTGGATACAAACCCAGACACTGAGGATATAGAACAAGAGATGATCGCTGGCTCTAGTGAGAGTGGACAGAATGTGGTGCCTGACCTAGAGGGTCAGAAAAGAGGATTTTTGTTTGTCACTTTTCGGAACAACTGAAAGATTCCACACTTAATATAGAGGCCGTGAAAACATTAAAATGATTGATGGGGAACCAGTGGAAAATGATGTAGCGGGGGTGTCTTCTCCCTACATGGCTCTTAACAATAACTTGCTGTATCAAGTGGTAAAGCAAGGGGGAGGAGGTGGTAGAACAGTTAGTGGTGGTCCCCAAACCCTTACGCCGGATGGTACTGGATTTAGCCCATGGGCATATAATGGGTGGACACCTGGGTGTAGAGAAAACAAAGGATGAGAATAACCCAGAGATTCTTTTGGCCAGACGCTTACATGGGGAATAGTACAAAGGAATTTTCTGACTGCAGAAGAGAAGTCAGATTTCATTGTGAATGTCAAGGATGTTCAAAGCGCCCTCATCTCCGGTGGAAAGGTCAAAATATTCTGCGCAAAATCCTCACCCATTTTCGCAGTCCGCTTAGTACCTCTACCCATAATTGAAGTATCGTTTGAATAGAAAGAAAAAGTGGGCATGGACCTAAGTGGGTCCAGTAGTAAAGCCTGCCCGGGGCCATCGGCACATACTGACTAATGGTTAAACTTGACTATGCCACCCTAGGTATCCTGAAGCCCATCCCCTTGCGTAATACCTCAGCTAAAAATATCGCCAAAGAGAGTCTTGTCTGGGTGTTTAGTCGTGTAGGTATTCCAAAGGAGATATTAAACGGATCATGGGCACGCCATTTATGTCTAGAGTTATGAAAGAGTTATGCAAATTGTTCAAAATCTCCCCATCTCCGTACGCGCGGTCTACCACCCCAAACCGATGGGCTTGTGGAAAAGGTGTTAAACAAGACCCTTAAGAATATGTTAAAAGATTAAAAAGAGGTGGTGGACAAAGATGGGAGAAATTGGGATTTTTTTGCTACCATATCTCATGTTTGCTATACGAGAAGTACCTCAGGCATCTACAGGATATTTCACCTTTTGAATTACTGTATGGTTGTCACAGGTGTAAGGTCAGGTTCAGAGACCAGTTTGCTTATAGCAGTAAAAGGCTTACCTGGAACCAGCAGGATAGGTACACTCAACAGCGGATCCCCCTTGGAATGGACGCGCAGGTCCTCACCTGAGGTGCGGGGTCTAAGTATTTAACCGGTATTCACCAGAGCTCCTAATGGTGGAGATGGATTGGAGGGCTGCGTGTTAATACCAGGTCGCAGATCTCAGGATCACCCCACCAGGGAATGAGCAGACTGGGAACCAATAGCGGATCAAAACCAGGGTTAAGGGATCAGACGGAAAGCAGAGTCGGTCACGCACAAGCCAAGGGTCGGTCCACAAATGTTGTAAGCAGATCAATCGTGGTCAAGAACAAGCCAAAGGTCAGTAGCGGAGGTGTAGACAGCAGCAGGAACAGTATGGCAGGATATTGGCTGGAAAGGCACAATAATCTGCAAGGAGGAAGTCCAAGGACATGGCTTATATAGGAAGTTCATGGGAGGAGCAAGGAGTTCTCCAAGGTTCAAGAGCAAACAGAGGCACAAGGCAGGATTTATCCATAATGATGAGGCAAAGTGTTGTCCAGCATCCTAGGTAGCTCAGTGTGAGTAGAGTTAACTGCCTGACACAGTAGAAGTCCCAGGTTCAAGTCCAGGCCCTGACAGTACTCCCCTCCTCCCAGGACGTCCTCTGGACGTCTTAGGACTAGGCTTGTGTGAAACCTCTGGTGGAATTCTCTTGTTAGCGTCTAGGAGCATGAACATTCTCCTCATGGCTCCCAGAATTTTCTTCTGTAGGTCCATATTTTCCTTCCCATTGAACCAGATACTGTAACTTATTCCTAAAGATCCTGGAATCAAGGATTTTCTCCACCACAAATTCTTCTTCACCCCTGTACCTCAACAGGTGGAGGAGAGGTGGAAAAATTCTTCCAGGAAAGGATTTTTCTGAAAACAGTTTGCATGTAGTAGTGATATATGAAAAAACAGGGTGAATCCTCATACTATCCGGAAGCTGTAAGCGAAAGGTGACTTGGGTTGATTTGGGCAGAAATCTGAAAAGGACCCACAAACTTTTGACCAACTTAGCAGATGGGCACCTGGATCACTTCAAATTCTTTGAGTGATAACCAAACTTTTTCACCCACATGAAAAGTAGGAAGTGTGTTCTCGGTGTCTGTCTGCAGTGTGCAGACTTTTTGTAATACTCCTGAGCTTCCCTCAAAGTGTCTCAATCAATTTCTCTTGAATCTCCTGCAATGTAGTTAGTCTATTGGTAACAGCAGTGGATTGAGTTGTGATAGGGAGATCAGGAATAAAAATTGGATGGTAACCGGCGTTTAAGTAAAAAGGACTTGAGAGGTGGAACTATGTTTAGAATTGTTGTATGCCAAACTCTGCAGTGGGAAGACAGTCCACCCAGTCATCCTGAAGATAAGTGACAAAGCATCGAAGATACTGTTCCATTGTTTGATTAGTTTACTCTCAGTCTGACCATTAGACTGTGGGATGAAAAGCAGAGGACAGATTAATTGTAACACCTAAGGCTGAGCAAAAAACTTCTCCAGAATTTCGAAGTAAAACTGCACACCTCTGTCAGACCACCACATCATCAGGGATTCCATGCAGTTTAAAGATTTCTCGAAACCATCAGTTCAGCAGTCTGTTCAGCAGTGGGCACCCCCTTAACTGGAACAAAATGGGCCATTTTTAGTGAGACGGTCAACCACACTACCAAAATGGTGGTCATTCCTTTTGAGGGAGGTAAATCCACCACAAAATCCATAGAAATAGACCCCATGGTCTTGATGGAACAGGGAGTGGCCTGAAGCAACCCCAAGGGGAGGCTCGGGAATCTATATTGCGTGCACAGGTCAAGCATGAGGTCACATAGCGTTTGACATCTTTCTTGTACCCCGGCCACCAAAAGGAACGTGATAATAGTTCTTCGGTCTTAGAGAGCGAACTCCAAAATGCCCAGGCTGCAAGTTTGGAATCATGAACCAACTTGAGAGCTTCCACCCGAACAGATTCAGGTACAGTAAAGATGATGTCCTTGAATCCAAAAGCCATTCTTATAAGTCAGGTTAATGTCCGTAGGTGGATGATTGAGAAGTGGGTCATTCTCATTTACACCCTCTTTAAGAAGATATTCAAGAATGCCTTAGAACTTGTGGCCCCTAGAAAGTTCTTTTGAGGCAGGATTGTGCATTCAGAAGTACAGTGTTCTCCTGAGAGGCCCAGACGACATTCGTGGATAAGGCATCAGCCTTTCCGTTTCTTGACCCAGGTCGATATGAGATTAATAAAATTGAACCTGGAAAAAGAACAGATGACCAACGTGCTTGTCTAGAAGACACAATCTTCTTGGCAGAACGGATGATGAATTCTAGAGATTTTTTATTATCCGTGAAGACAGTCACAGGATGCTTAGCCCCTTCCAACAGATGCCTCCATCGGAAAAGGCTTCCCTAATTGCGCGGGGGCCAGCAACTCCTTATTCCCAAGTGTCATAATTCCTTTCAGCAGATGACATCAAACGCAAAGAAAAATAAGCACAGGGATGAAGCTGCGCATCTTTTTTCTCCTCGTCTCGCTGAAAATCGATAGCTCCCACGCGTGCGGAGTCTGAAGGCATCCACTATCCACAATAAAAGGTAGCGTCTCTGAAATTTGCTTGCCTGACAGGAGCATGGCATTTGCTATAGCGGCCTCCATCTGTGGGCCAGATTATTCTGTCACGGTGTAAGGGGTCAGGTTCAGAGACCAGATTGCTATAGCAGTAAAAGGCTTACCTGGAACCAGCAGGATAGGTACACCAGTCTGGATGCCCCTGGGAATGACGCAGGCTCACTCCTGAGGTGCGGGGTCTAAAGTATTAACAACGGTATTCACCAGAGCTCCTAATGGTGGAGATGGATTGGCTGCTGCCTGTTAATACCAGGTCGCAGATCTCAGGATCACCCCACCAGGGAATGAGCAGACTGGGAACCAATCTGCGGACTCAACAGGTTAGGGATCAGACGAAAGCACGAGTTGGTCACAAGCCAAGGGTCGCGTCACAAATGGTAGCAGGATCAATCGTCGTGGTCAGGAACAAGCCAAAGGTCAGTAGCGGAGGTGTAGACAGCAGCAGAAAACAGTAAGCAGGATATTGGCTTGGAAAGGCACAATAATCTGCAAGGAGGAGGACAGGATAGAATCGCAGCTGTCATGCCACTTGTTCGGGAACACATGGAGCAAGCCCAGGAGGTCCAGAGAAGGGTTTATAACCGGGGTGCCAGGATCCGTACCTTCAACCCGGGGATAGAGTGCTGGTGCTAGTCCCCACCGTGGAAAGTAAATTCCTCGCAAAGTGGCAAGGTCCCTTTGAAATTAGGGAGAAAGTGGGAGAAGTAAATTATAAAGTTTACCAGCCAGGAAAAAGGAAACCCGAACAAATCTATCATGTTAATCTCTTAAAACCTTGGAAAGACAGGGAAAGTTTGTTGGCAGTACCAAGCCCCCAAAAGGACGTGGTTCCCGTGGCCCCTCAGGTACCTATAACGGAAACCTTGTCAGTAGCCCAACAAAATGATGTTAAGGAGTTTGTGAGGAAAAATGGAGATTTCTTCTCTCACCTACCTGGACTGACGACGGTCATACAGCATGACATAGTTACCCAGCCTGGGGTCCGTGTAAATGTCAAGCCCTATAGAATACCCGAGGCCAGGCGGGAGGCGGTGGCAAAGGAAATAAAGGACATGTTAGAGTTGGGAGTGATTGAGGAATCTCACAGTGAGTGGTCGAGTCCCATAGTGTTGGTCCCAAAACCAGATGGAACAATTTGTTTCTGTAATGATTTCAGGAAACTGAACAGTGTGTCTAAGTTTTTGATACGTACCCGATGCCTCGGGTGGATGAGCTCATTGACAGGTTGGGAACGGCTCGGTACATAACCACCTTAGATCTGAGCAAAGGCTATTGGCAGATTCCTTTAACGGAAGCTGCAAAAGAAAAGACAGCCTTCTCCACCCCCAAGGGGTCCTTTCAGTATAAGCGGATGCCGTTTGGTTTGCATGGGGCTCCTGCATCATTCCAAAGGATGATGGACAATACGTTGAGACCACATCGTCAATATGCAGCTGCCTATTTGGACGATGTCGTCATCCACAGTCCCGACTGGGAATCTCATTTGTCCCTCTTGCAAGTGTTCGTAGATTCGCTGCTGGAAGCAGGTCTTACCGCCAACCCCAGAAAGTGTGCCATTGGCTTAGAGGAGGCCAAATATCTTGGCTACATCATTGGTCGAGGTCTCATTAGGCCTCAGATCAATAAAATTGAGGCAATTCAAAAGTGGCCCCAACCTGTAAATAAAAAACAAGTCCGGGCATTTCTTGGAATCACGGGGTACTACAGGCGGTTTATCCCCAATTTTGCCACCATTGCAGCCCCACTGACAGATCTGACAAAAGGTAGGGGGTCAGTCATGATTAAGTGGACTCCTGAGGCAGAGATCGCATTTCAAAGGCTGAAACAAGCTCTCTGTGCTCAACCTGTGCTTGTGACTCCAGATTTCACAACAGAGTTTGTGGTACAGACTGATGCCTCTGACGTGGGACTAGGTGCGGTACTGTCCCAAATCAGAGATGGGGAGGAGCACCCTGTGGTCTTCCTAAGTAGAAAGCTCAACAAACATGAGAGAAACTATGCCATTGTGGAGAAGGAATGTTTGGCCATCAAATGGGCCTCGGAGGCCCTGAAATATTACCTGTTAGGAAGACCGTTCAAGTTGGTTACTGATCATGCCCCGCTCAAATGGATGTGTGATAATAAGAGAAAAACAGTCGAGTGACAAGGTGGTTTCTCGCGCTACAAGTGTTCAAATTCACAGTGGAACACAGAGCGGGGAAACTGCAAAGTAATGTAGATGCCCTCTCCCGGGTCCATTGTCTGGTTGGGACAGTTGCTCAGCCGCAGGGGCTTGAGCAGAGGGGGGGGATATGTGATAGGATGAACGGTGATAGAGGGACGCTATGTGTCACCTCGCATATGCTCATACCTGACCGTTTAGGTGGAGTCCACTCCGGGTTTTCGGGGCCACAGTTAAGCAGGTGGGTCCGGACCAGAGTTTGGGCTCCACTGATGTCCACCAACAGGTGGTATAAATAAGACAGGGATGGAGCAAGGAGTTGCTCGTGGCCTGAGACTCAGAGAGGTGTTCTGAGAGAGCTGTGTGTGTGCTATACCTACAAGAAAAGGTTTGCTTTTGTTTTATTTTGGTGACAGGGAGAAGCCCTTCACCTCTGAGAGAGGAAATGCCTTTTGTTTAGTTAGTGCCTGGATGGCAAGGGTTTATTTTCATGTTTTGTTTATTTTCTGCAAACCTTTTAAATAAAGCTGACAACCAGTCAGATTTTGATGAAAGCCTGCTGTGCGGTCTACCTTTGTCCCAGGGAAGGAGATCCCCCACCTGAGCTAACCCCACAATATATATAAAAATACATACATCTGTATATATATAAAATAAAAATTATAATATATTTAAAATAATTATACACCAATAATAAAAAAATATATATAATACAAAAAATATATTTTTTAAATAAAATAAAATAAAAATCTCCTACAAAGAATATCTTTATTTAACATACCAAAAAATAATTAAACAAAATAAAAAAATCTCCCACATAAATCCATTTATAATTTGCACATCTAGTATATATAAATAGAACTCACCTATACCTATAACTCAAATGTGCAACTTCTATTCTTATAAAACTCGGCATCAAAGCCCTCCACTATCATATATACTACCTTTATAGTATCACTAAAGGTACGCGATATATTAGACATATTAATACAATCTCATAAAAATGTATAACTGTGGTGAATGAGAGAAGAGTTCTCCCTAACCTTTATCTCTATTACTTCTCTCACATTCACCACATCAAGATTCAAAACCTCCTAAACCGGGGTAAAACTACATACATGGATAATACCATCATATATTGTTCTTACGTCTAAACATCAATAATGAAGCAAGATAAATTAAATTCCTTGTTTAAACCCCCTGGTGCTAGACTTCCCAACTCATAGATCCAGAATGATTCTTTTTTACTTATTTCACGCACTAAATTATCTCCCCTCCAATGTGAGTTATGTTTTGTAATACCCCAGAATTCTATTTTCTCTATGTCTTGATTATGATATAGTTTAAAATGTACTGATAAATGGTGATATTTGTAGCCTATACTTATATTGTGTATTTGTTCTTTTACACGTTCTTTGAGACTTCTCTTTGTACGTCCTATATATAAACGATTACATGGGCATTTTAGGGCGTACACTATGCCCCTACTATCTCATGAAATGAATCGATCGATCTCATATTGTTTCCCATTCTTTGGATTCTTAAATAACTGTCTACATCTTGGATTCCCATGCGTTCTTCTCTGCAACTATAGCAACGACCGCATCTGTAAAACCCAGTTCCATTAAAAAAACTTAAAGTACTAGTCGATATGAGGGGAGGTTCTAACACATTTTTTACTACTCTATCATGAATATTGGGTGCCCTTTTATAAATGAACCTAGGTTTATCTTTAACAATAGTCTTAAGGGTCTTAACTAGTTTGAGTGTATTCCAATGTTTAGATATAATTTTCTGTATATCCCTGTGTTGTTTATTATATGGTAATATTATCAATATTTCCTGTTCATCTACTTTATGTTGTATCTTTTTTTCTAATAATGTTTTTCTATCTATAACTTCTATTCTCTTGCTTGCTTCTAATATTATTTCTCTCTTATAAACTTTGTCCACAAACCTTTGGGCCAATATTTCACTTTGCTCTCTATAATCATCAACATAAGTGCAATTCCGTCTCAATCTAAGAAACTGTCCCCTCGGGACATTTTTAATCCATGGTCTGTGGTGACAACTATTAACAGAGATATATGAATTACGATCAGTTTTCTTGAAATAATTTTTTGTTATTATACCAACACCTATATTTATTAATTTGAGATCTAAAAAATTAATCTTTTTATCATTGATGTTCCAACTTAATGTAATATTTTTAGTGTTCTGATTCAGATTCTGATAATAATTAATCAATGATGATGCATCTCCTCTCCATAATAATATAATATCATCAATAAATCTGCCATATTTAATTATATTATGACTCATATTATTGAATATTACTTCCTCCTCCCATTTCGCCATATATAGGTTAGCAATACTAGGTGCGAAACGGGTTAGGCTTATATTGAGGTGAGCGCATATTGATATCAAGGCATGCTGAGGTTAATTCACCATTTCAATACCGTGCAATTTTTACACCTTCCTGCCCAGGCCATTTTTCAGGTTTCAGCGCTCTCACACTTAGAATGACAATTGCGCGGTCATACAACACTGTACCCACACTAAAATTTTATCATTTTCTTCACACAACTAGAGCTTTCTTTTGGTGGTATTTAATCACCGCTGGGGTTTTTATTTTTTGCTAAATTAACAAAAAAAGACCAAAAATTTTGAAAAAAAAACACATTTTTCTTTGTTTCTGTTATAAAAGTTTACAAATAAATAATTGTTCTTCATAAATTTAGGCCGAGATGTATTCTGCTACATGTCTTTGGTGAAAATAACCCAAATTAGGATGTATTTTTTAGTTTGTAGGAAAGTTATAGAGTTCACAAACTATGGTATAGATCTGAATATTGATCAATCCTGAAGTACTGACAGCCAATCTAATTTCTTGAGGTCCAAGAATGTCAGAACAGTACAGATATCCCACAAATGACCCCTTTTTGCAGAGTAGACAGTCCGATGTACTTCATAAGAGGCATGGCAAGTTTTTTGAAGTTGTATTTTTATGTCATAATTTTTCGGAAAATGAAAAAATTAAAAAAATTATTTTCACTATTTTTTTTTTTACATACTGTCACCAGTGCAGTACAGCGTCATCATATAACTGGCATGGCGGTTAACAGGGACACTGACTGGTGACAGTATGAAAAAAAAAAAAATATATATATTTTCTTATTTTTTTTATTTTTTTTATTATATTTAATTTTTTATTACATTTTTTTTAATTTTTTTTAAGATTTTTTTTTTCATATTTTACTATGACCAAAGTAGTACAATGTTACCATAGTAACACTGTACTACTTTGGTGAAGTGATCAGTATTTTTTTTTTTTTTTACACAATTTGCTTATAGCAAAGAATTACTTTGCTATAAGCAAGCATTTACCTGAATGAAATCGATTCATTCAGCTTTTTTTTTTTTTTTTTTTGTGCTT